TCGGGGCTCTGCCCTGCCCTGCCCTGCCCGTCCTGGCGCTTTCGATGCCCGTAGCTGCGATCTTGACGTCCTTTTCAGAAAGCCATTGATTTGGTCACGAAAGCCACCGAGGAGGACAAGGCCAAGAACTACGAGGAGGCTCTGCGCCTGTACCAGCACGCGGTGGAGTACTTCTTGCACGCGATCAAGTGTGAGTCCGCAGGCGGAGGCTTGGGCCCGCCTTTACGGGCCCCTGGGCGTGCTCAGGAGGGGCACGTGCGGGAGGGCGAACGGGGCTTCCCTCCCCTGCCGTGAGGGTGGCCATTCACCGGAAGAGCAAGGGGAAGACCCCTGGGTTCTGCTGCCCGTCCCATCTCATCTCATCCCATCCTGGTCGCCCTCACAGATGACGCTCACAGTGACAAGGCCAAAGAGAGCATACGGGCAAAGTGCGCCCAGTACCTGGACCGGGCTGAGAAGCTGAAGGACTATTTGCGGAACAAGAACAAGCAGAGCAAGAAGCCGGTCAAGGAGGCCCAGAATGACAGCAAGGGGTAAGGGCCTGGGGGCCATCTCCCCAGGAAGGGCTATGGGGAGCTAAGCTGGGGGTCCTGCTGTGGGGCCTCTGCTCTGCCTGGACCAAGGCAGAGAGGCTTCTGGACCTCAGCACTGCCTGCTTGAGCTCAAATCTCGGGCTGCCTTATTTTGCCTGGAGAGAACAGGCACAAAACCAAAAAGCAGCTGGGCTTGAATCTGCGTTATTAGCACCACTCATGTTATTATGGGTTGCAGTAAAGCAACCGGGGCAGCCGGGGACAGGCATCAGATCATCGACATCGAGAACAGAATGTTTCAAGATCAAACTTCTACAGACTTGATCTTGGTTGGCTGATGGGAGCAGCTTTCTTGATCTGAATACATCTTCCTTGGATCCGCTTCCTGCCATTGAGTCCTGGGGGTGGATTGTGAGGGCACCACTTTGAGCAGCGACCCCATAAATAACAGAGGGCAGTCCTATGGCAAACAGGAGTTGGGGCTCAGGTCTGAGATGTAGTTTTCCATCCATAGTCCAAATTCATCCAGTCGCTTATCTCACAACTTTCTGCCTATTTAAATGTTTTTCCCTTCTGGAAAAAGGCGTGGTCAGGGTCAGTGCCACAGAGAACACAGGGGTGGGTTGTCATACCCATCCTTGCCACTTTCTGCCACTTTCACCTTAATCTCTCTGGCTGCAAGGAATGGAGGTAGGACCAAAATCACCCCCAAGACAGCGTGTCGAGGGGAGATCTATTTCCCCAAGACCTTTTTCAGAGTATGCTTTGCTCATGGACATTGCAAGGGGCCATCAACCCCCAGGGAAGTAGTTTGCAAGATGGGGGAGGTAGTTGGTTTTGGGGGGGGGTTAGTTTAATTTCAAATGCTAAACAAAACTGACTCTGTTTGGGACTAAATCTCGCCCCCGCAGGGTTAATCGTCTGGGTCAGTTAAGTAACTTTTGAAGCTTGTGAGAAGTACTTTCTCTGCTAAGGGCCTTTGAATGTCTTCCTCCGCAGCAGTGACAGCGACAGTGAGGGGGACAACCCTGAGAAGAAAAAACTGCAAGAGCAGCTGATGGGTAAGCCTCTCTCCCGCTCGTAAAGGTCCAGGGCTGCTCTTGGGCGCTTGGAGCCGCTATGCTTACCTGCATAGTAGGTAGTGAGTGGGCGCTAGGTTCAGATCACCCCTGAGGCAAACTGCCTTGTCTGCAGGCGCCATCGTGATGGAGAAGCCCAACGTGCGATGGAACGATGTAGCAGGGCTGGAGGGGGCCAAGGAGGCCCTGAAGGAAGCCGTCATCCTGCCCATCAAATTCCCTCACCTCTTTACAGGTGAGGCCGGGGGTCCCTCCCAGTGTCCCTGGGGCCCTGGGATGTTGTTGGGGTGAGCGAGGCCCTCTCCTCTCTCCTCTTCTCTCCTTGGCCAGGCAAGCGTACACCATGGCGCGGGATCCTCCTCTTTGGCCCCCCAGGAACTGGGAAGTCCTTCCTGGCTAAAGCAGTGGCCACCGAGGCCAGCAACTCCACCTTCTTCTCCATCTCATCTTCAGACCTGATGTCCAAGTGGTTGGGAGAGAGTGAAAAGTACGCGTGGGGGGCAGGAGGGGGGCATTGGCCCTTGGAGAACTGGGGCCGGGGTGAAACAGGGCTGCGCGGGGTCTCCATGGGGAGTTTTGCTGCCATTGTTCAACATGGCACCCGTCTTCTGGCTCATTGGCCGGTCTGTGGCAGGCTGCCCTGAACCTCTTCTCACTCTGCCCGGCTCCCTCTTCAGGCTGGTGAAAAATCTCTTCGAGTTGGCCAGGCAGCACAAGCCTTCCATCATTTTCATCGACGAGGTGGACTCCCTCTGCGGTTCCCGCAACGAGAACGAGAGTGAAGCCGCTCGCAGGATCAAGACGGAATTCCTGGTGCAAATGCAAGGTAGGCGACGGGGTGGGTGCCGGGGCCTGCCTCCCTTTGCCAGAGCGGCTGCTGGTCTTGGGCCGATGGCCGGGGCCGAACAGACAGGTCCTGGAGCGCGGGGCCTGCTGTCCCAAGAAGAGCGAACGACGGGCACTTCTCCTCCTCCTCAGGTGTTGGGAATAACAATGATGGCACGTTGGTCTTGGGCGCCACCAACATCCCCTGGGTGCTGGATGCTGCCATTCGGAGAAGGTGGGTGATGGCAGTGTTTGGCAGAAACCAAATGCCCAGTCTCACCATCGCATTTTGCCCAAGCAGAAACGGCCAAATACGAAATACGGGTCCACAGGGAGCAGACTGCGGTCCTCTACGTGAGAAACAGCCCCACGCTCAGTACATTCCGTGGCCCTTAAAGTCGCTGCTAGATGATGCGTGATTCTGCCCTGCGTAGTTCTGAGCGTGAGGCTGTGGTCTGTGTGCCGCAGCAGGGGCAGCACATGGCCAAGCTTTGTGGTTTGCGAAGTGCTTGCGGGGGGCTGCATGGAATCCCCAGGGTGGGGCCTGGAACAAGCAACCTGCAGGAAGGCACGGCCGTTGTTCACAGGCAAGTGTCACCAATGGATCCCTGAAGTGGCCAGCAGCTGAGCTCCGTTTTGTTTACTAACATGGGCAGTAACAAAATCCAGCTAATAAAACAAAACAAACCAAATTTTAAATTGCAGTGGATTAAAGACTCCCGATTTTTACTAACTTCCTAGCCAAATGCAGTTAGCTGAAAGCCATCCGGGAGTGGGGGGGGGGAGATGGAACCGTCAACACCTCAAGGGCTCATGGCAGTGGGCAGGAGGGTAGGTTATGTGCATGCATGCCACGCACCCCAGCTTTGAGACTGACTCATGCATGCCTTCCTTTGCCTGTAGGTTTGAGAAACGCATTTACATCCCGCTTCCAGAGGAGCCAGCTCGTGCCCAGATGTATAAGCTACACCTGGGCAACACCCCCCACAGTCTGACTGAAGCTGACATCCACGAGCTGGCCCGAAAGACCGATGGCTACTCGGGGGCCGACATTAGCATTATTGTGCGGGATGCCCTGATGCAGCCTGTCCGCAAAGTGCAGTCAGCCACGCACTTTAAAAGGGTGAGCTGCCCGGCAGCGGCTGGGGACAACCTTCTGATGCCCTCCTGTATGTGGAGGCGCTGTTTTAGCCGCGAAAGGAAAGGGCTCTCTGCCCACGCTCCTTCTGTGGTTGGGCAGGAGAATTCCAAGATCAGCTCGGTCCCTCTTGCAGTCTTCATCGCGGTCTTGAATGGCTGTTCCTGGAGAGCAAGTGGTGATTTGGGGGTGGCTTGTCTGCCACCCTGTTCCTTTCTCTTGCACGTTGCTGCTGGGCCTTTCCCAGACCCGTGAGTAGAGACACCCTGCCGACCTGGCAATCCTCTTATCTGACGCTGCTTATATCCTCGCTGCAGGTCCATGGACCATCTCGCACCAATCCTAGTGTGCTGGTGGATGACCTGCTGACTCCTTGTTCGCCAGGGGATCCTGGGGCCCTTGAGATGACCTGGATGGAGGTGCCTGGAGACAAACTTCTGGAGCCGGTGGTCTGCATGGTGAGCGGTTGGGGCAAACCCCTTTCCTCCCCTCCCCCCAGGCTTAGGCAAAATTCTAACGCCAACGTGCGCTCGCCCTCTCCTTCTGAGTGGGACACGGGGTGACAAAGCGGGACCAAGTCAGGGTATAAGGAATCCACTCTGCCTACAATGAAGGGGAGCGCTGCTGGAGCACCAGAGGCTTGGGGTTCTGAGTGTTACCTCTCTTTGCAGTCAGATATGTTGCGCTCGCTGGCCACCACCCGCCCCACGGTTAATGCGGAAGACCTTCTGAAGGTGAAGAAGTTCACGGAAGACTTTGGCCAAGAGGGTTAATGCTGCGCTGTGGGATGTCCCGATGTGAGGTGGGAGCAGCCAAGGGCCCGTTTGCCCAGCCATGTGTATAGGAGGCCAGTAGTGGCTGGTGGACTCTGCTGCGCAGAAGCTTCATTCTCCGTCTGTCTCCATTGGCGCGTCCCTCTGGCTGGGGAATGGAAGGGGATGAGGTGGCGGGTGCCGAGGGGACGCGAGCAAGCCTGGCTCAGTGTGTTATGTCTTTTTCCCCATCAGATAAGTGCCCCACCTTTTTATTTCTGATGCTTAATTTTCTGTTATTAAAAATAAAATCAGCCCAACTCCCTTCTGCTCCCAGCCATTTCCTGAGCCCCCACCCCCTTGAGCCCACTTCTGTTGCCCCAAAGAAAGGCCAGAGGGGCTCTCCGAGAGCCCTCCTTCCTTCTTGAATGCTGACATGCATCACCTCAAGCTGACTTGAGGAAAAGGGCCTCGCTCTGCCAAGCGTGTGGAAAGCTGTTTTTCTGGGTCCCGGTATGTTTTCCTGTCTGCCACGAGGCCCTCCTGCTCTCAGAACAGTTCCCCCCGCTAGCTTCGGACCCAGCCTTTGGCGAAGGCCCTCGGCCTCCTTCGCTTTGCTCCTGGGCGTGCGCTTGATGGGGGGGCCGGGGCGGGGGAGGCCGTAGGTCCACCCGCCTAGCAGGATGGCTTGCGGGGGAGAGGAATGGCGGCCTGCGTCCCACGGACGGACGCAGGTGGGACCGGCT